TTAATTTAATAACACATGATACATGACATATATCGTTTTTTCAGCAGTACCTTCATTTAGGGCTGCATAAAATGAGCATTTTGATATTCGATTATTCTGTAAATGAATCGACTTAAATGTGGTTGGTAATGCAAAGATCTGCAGCAATAAAATGTTTGACAGTATTCTAAAAACTGATGTGCTGGTCACCAAGAGCTAAATAACCACAGAAAAAAATGTTCAACCCTGCCTATAATTCTGAGCTGTAATAAGTAATGAGCAATAGCATCATTCAACAAGTTCAACATTTTAACATGTTAGTTCAAGATTATAACGTAAGTTTATTTGAAAATGGATGTAGAAACTTGAGTTCAAGTACAAAGATTTGTGCAGATATAAAAATGCACATTATATCCTTTCTAAGAACTTTTTTTAAAATTATAATTTTGAACGACTGTCATTGGCGCATATATATACACACACACCACATTGTCCTGCTATTGTATAAAGACAAAAATAAAAACCTGTGTGCATGTTTGGTCTGACACAATTCACATGACGCAACATGCTTTTAACATTGTTTTTTGTTACTGCAAGAAGAACAGTCTCTAAAGGAAATAGCACGCTGTGGTCCATGTGGAATGACAGCTATTTGAGAAGCTGCATGAATGCATGCTGTTTGTGAGAACTCTCGCAGAATGTTCAGAGTCAGGGTCTGAAATCAGTACAGGCCAGTGCACCCATAGCATGTGTAGCTAAGCTTGTAGTTAATCATTATTATTGGTGGCAATATGACGAGATGTTATTGTTGTCATGTTAAATTACCATGTGATATGCCTTGTGAAATGTATCATTGGTCTCAGTATTTAGTGTGTCCACCCTTTTCCTTTCTTAAAGCTTCTGTTCTTTTCAGGAGACTTACATTCAGTTTTTCAAACAAATCTGCAGGAATATTGTCCTTCTTGTAAAAACAACAAGTTCAGTTTTAGAAGTTGGTTGTGAAGTTGTTCTCTTACAATGGAAAGATTTTGTTCAGATCTTAAGCAAGAGTGTAGCTTGATTTTCTCCTGTTTCTCAAAGGTGATGTCTTGTGTGATTGTTAGGATTTTTTCCCCAATTTTCTCCCCAATTTAAACGTATCCAATTCCACCCGCTAGTTAGGACTCCTCCAATCACACCTGCCAACTGCGCTAGGAGGGCGAAAGCTAGCACAGGCTGAGACCTGTCAAGCAAGCCACCACATCTTTTCGCACTGCCGCTAACAGACACCTGCGCTGGCTAGCATCACGCTAAATGATTCAGGGAGACAAGGGGGCTATCCTTCCCACCCAGAAAAAAGTGAGGCCAATTGTGCTGTCTTGGGCTTCTGGCCATGTATGGCTGTAGCATTGCTGGGGATGGAAATCGCGATCCCCTGATGATGGGGCCAACAGTTAGACGGTTGCACCGCTTGGGAGCCCCCTCAAATTTTCTTTCTGTTTTTTAAAGAATTTTTGAACTCCACTTTGGGAAGCTCCAGTTTTTTCCTGACTTTTCCCTTCTTTGTGTGAGTGGGTGTTTTCAAAAATCCTCAGAAATATTTTCTGAAAAATGGATAATTTGTACTTTATGGCCGTTATGGCAGTAAATAAATGGAGGTCTCCAACTTTTTCACAGTACTGTATACCTGTAAACAGCGACCAATGTATAAATTGCTTTACACCCAATGTATAATTGCATTATAAACCTAGTAGTGAAATAGATGCTCGCCTAGATGCCAGCCAACAGTTACCTTATTTTACCAATTAATTATTACCAATTCCTTGATTTTTGTAAATAATGGATTTTAAAAATATTAAACTTTTTGTTTTCCGTAACCTTTTTTTAAATGTAGCTCTATTGTTTGGCTGGTGGATTATGTCGCTTCCTACTTTTTCCACAGATCTAAGGAAAATCTAAATATTGTGATACTTATTGTCATAAAAATATGTTAATGTATCATGATATTACGTTTTTGCCTGGTTGCTTTACCTTAAACCTTAGCATTTGTGCTAGGTGAGTAATCCTGTTTGTAATAGCGGTGCAGAGGGTGTGCTACAAAATGAAACGCATTACATGCTCCTTTTTTCAATTAACTGTTTGCCTAAGCTATAACTGTGGTGTCGTTTGATAGATGATTAATTGTGAAGCCTTGCATAGTGCCTCATGCACACAGAGTTTGGAGAGAGCCAGTCTGTGTTTGTTAAGTGTATGTACACACAGTTAAATTGAAATTTCCCAGGACCCCTCCCAGTCTTCCTCGTCATATCTATAGTTCCAATTATAGACTTCATGAAAAGGAGTCCTGCCTTTGGAGTGAAGTGGCACCCTCGCAAAGAGCATTTGCAATGAATGAATCTACAGTACCAGACAGTTTGGACACCTTGAATGCATGTTTTTTTTATAATCTTAAGGACATTTTGAGCTTAATAGTTAAAGGCTTGAAATTAATAGTAATTAAGTAGTGAAGTTGCTGCTTATGTATGAATTTAACTGGAAATTTCACAGAAGCCCAGAAACTAAATATAATTTATAATATAATCACATTTGGAACAGTTGCTCTTCTGTTTTTCCTTACATATCTCGCAAATGCACAAACATCTTTGCCACAGATCTAAATGCAGATGTTAGTTTAGTCACTATTTCTACTGAATCACTAGTCAGTTGAGTAGTCTTTGAGACTGAAGCTCCTGCCTCCTGGGTCCCAATAATGAACCTTCTTTCAAAGCCACTTAGATATTTTCTTCTTGCCAGAGTCTTGATCAAATATTGTGGTCAACTTGGCCTATTCTGCATTTTTGTTCCCGTCACACAGCTTGGTAGGATGTTGCTTAGTTGCATCATGGAATATACCTATCTGGAAGCATCTTTACCTGTTCTGTTTCTTCACTCACTCATTCAGGTCTTTCCCATAATACTTCCTATGAATCCTGGATTCATAATTGTTTAAAAATGCATTTATTTAGTTATATGTATTATATAAAACCTTATAATGACTGTCATAATCTGGTGTAATTGCTTATAAGTAGATATTGTTACATCCATAAAACTTTATAAAGCAAGAGTATATGACTTCAGAAGGTCAGGTTTTGTGACACATTATAATATCTGTCCATAAGAACATTCTAAACACTAAAGTTGTGATGCACTGTAAATACATATAACACTTTATAGAGCTTTATGCCAGGTCATCACATACTTTATGTGAAGCAAAGTGAAGTTTTTTTTAAAAGGTATTTTAAATGTTACATACAAGCTCTTTGCAGGCTTGAAATGAGGTAATCAAATTTAACTGGTAATATAGGACATACAATTTAGTCACTTGTGTATTCAATAGTAAATAGTTTAATTAATTGCCTCACATCCTGTTTTCAACATTCTGAGGGAAAATGTACCAAAATATACCACAGCCTGTTACAGTGTGTTATAGTGCATTACAACATTTATATTTACTGCTGTTTTATAAAGTCTTATGCATCTAATTATAGCTACTTGGAAGCAATCAGACAAGTATATGCTAGGCTTTATAAAATTAAATATATGTCATATAATTCTTTATAAATGCATCTATAAAGTACTTTGAATTTGTCAAAAGTCTGCATACACATTACCTTGTATTATTAGTGTAATTAGTATGACATAGTTTCAATATCACTTCTTAAAAATGGAAAAGCACTTTTAAATGTGTTTCATGCACTTTGAAACTGAAATGAATGGAAAGTAAGTAGCGTTAGAAACAGACAACAGGTGTACAGGTAGAATATGTGTAAGATAGCGTAAGGCCTGTTTCACTTCCAGCTGCTCTGGAGTTCCCCCACCTCTGGAACAGATAGGGTGCATGTTGTCAGAGAGATGTGCCCACAGACGAGGGCCTTTAATTGGTTCTTTGTTCACCTAGCAGCCGTTGCCATGGTATCTCAGCGGCGCTACCGCTGGCACTGTCACACACACCGGCAGTATAATCAGGTTTGCGTGAAGTTTGTACACACACACGCACACATAAACACACATACAGTCAGGAGGAATCAGGATTAGAAAAGTGCTTTTGATGAAGTGTAGTTCAGTGATAAACACACCTCTGTGTGTGTATGTGTGTATGTGTGTGTGTGTGTGTGGATGGAGACGTGTGTGGAAGGCTGATCTCCCGATCAGTTCTCTTTGATAGAGATGTTGCGCTGCATGCTGATATTTTATTCATGTTGGCTCCGAGTGCTGCAGGCCGGAGCCCTGTGCAGGAGAACTCTCAGAATAACTGATTCCTGATTCTAACCAGTCTCTCTCTCTCACATACACACACATACACACTTGCGAATGCAGTACAGCAAGAGGGAGGGGGAATGGCAGAAAAAGGAGACAAAAAAAGTTGACTTAAGGAGTAAAACCAGAGAAATGTCTGAATCTTTAGGGCACTTTTGAATCTTTGAAATCATCATTATTTTGCTCGCTATTTTTCTTTTTCAGTTAGTGAAATGGATCTGGACACGCATCTTGGGGTGGGTGACATGGCAAAAATATGGAAAGATGATGCTTGACATTTTTGCGATGCTTGTCGCTCTAGTTTGTTCATTGATCATTTGGAACAGAGAGAATGCACCAGTAGGGCCACATAGTATAATAAAAAATTCTAAGTACAAGATCATTTTCAGTATCCCCATCGCCAATATCGATACTGCATTTAAGTGCCAGTACCGGCACTGATACTGAAAGAGTATCGGTGCAACTCTACTTTTTTAATGAAACGTGATCAATGTTCCATGTGTACTGAAGATTTACGTGAAATGCTCAGACAAGCATATCGTGACATAATTTATCACAATAACTGTATATATATATATATGTTATATTGCCCACCCCTTCAGTCTTCAAAGGAAAGTGTTTGATGTCTGATGTGAAAAGATCTATCCGTTTGCATCTTTAAGAATTTAAACGTAATGTAAATGAAAGATGTTAATTGTAATCAACTTTCTAATGAGCTGGGTTTGTTTTTGTGCTGATTTCAACAGGAGGCATGTGTGAGTAACAGGCATCAGCAGTGGGATCTCGAGCTCCACAGGACCAGAGACCCCTTCAGTTCAGACACACTGACTTCAGCCCACAGGTAGGGGTTGTGTGTGTGTGTGTTTTGTACTTGTGAGGGCAAAATTATACAAAAACACAAAAAACAACTTGTTAGGACTAAAACAAATATTGTTTATTTTGTTTATTTAATGTAAACGTGTGCTCTTTTACAAGGGTGTATTACCATTCTTTTAAGGACCAAATGCACTAAAACACAAATTCTCACATGCATACAAAATATAGGAAAAGAAAGTTCAAGCTTTCCAGCAAAACATTCCTTTTCTCCTCATAGTGGCCGAGGCTAGGGTTAGATTTAGTTTTTGTTACCCTATCATTGAATAAATACAAATATACAGCCTCACAAGTGTTGGAATCATATCATTATTGGTAGATATTTGCCCAAAGAAATATATATATCGGTATCAGACAGATGTTTTGATTTGAATGGTATTTCAGACTGATATTTGTTGACATATTTATTGTAGCCTGTAAGTCCAGAAGGTTTCAGTGGTACTGGGTTACTGTGCTGAAATGTTTTTGTTTTATTAATTTTACAGCTTTTGTAACTTGATGTGAACAAATGTTTCTCTGCAAGGCTAATCCAGGAAGATTCAGTTCCAATTTCTACATTTTATGAGTATTTACTTGTCAGCATCAGGAGATTTGTACATGCAAATATGTTGGCTGTTGGCATTTTCCTTTCATTCCTATGTGAGGGCATCCCTGGTTTAGGCTATAGTATGGAATTTTTTATTATAGTTCAGTACAGCACCATTTTCATACAGTGAAGCAAAAGTCAATGAAAATACCCCACAACGACAGGAATACAAATTTATGATGAAAGGTTTTGCGGAGGAGCTCATTTTTAAAAGTCAGAGGCTCTGGTATGTTTTGCTGAATGTGCTTCATAAAACCATAGTGATATTAATTATCAGCATCAGGCCAGAGTTTTCTTCTGGGTTAAATGCCAACTGGAGATACTGTACCAGCATTCGTCTGCTGTAGGTCTTGCTCATCTATCATAAAATCCTGTACGTGTGCACAACAGAGAACAAACAGAATAAACAGAATTTAAGGTATTTTTATGTTTTATAACATATTAATAAATCGGTCAGTTTTAATAAGCTGCCAGCGCTCGGCTGTGCAGGCTGAAAGCTGTGGCACTCCTGGCTCTAAATAGACAGTAATGCATATTGATCGGAGTAACACCACAAAATGGAAGAACGATTGTAAATTGAAGTATTTAATTCCACTTGCTGTTAGTGCCAGGCTTTGCATTGGTAATCAATTTGTGCTCCTTTTCTGCTTTTGACAGCAGATTTTCTATTACAGCTTTCACTTTCTCCATCCCTCGTGTCTGTGTGTGTACGGCTGCACACAAACATCCACAAGTGCTGCAGTATAGTGAACTTGTGTGTTTAACTCTTTATTACTGAGACAAAAGTGCTATTTTTGCTTTTTATCCGCTCCTCTCCTTCAGTATTTCTCAAAATTGTTGTTGCGTTTACTGTAATATGTAATAAATGGAATCTAACAAAGTCGAAAAGATTTATATTTGTTACAAACTACCATTGCGATCAAGAAAACAAATTCATAGGAATATATATCACACTTCATTCACTTTATATTTAATGATGCACTGAAGTGAAAATTCTTGGCTGAAACATAAAGCAAAATTCAGAACATGTTCTGGGCTGGAAACCATGATTAAAAAAACCTAAAATAAATGTACTAAAATTATTACAGAGAATGGTTGGTCAAACAGGACATTGAGTTCTGTGGTTGCACTGTGTTTTGGTTTTGAGCCTACATGTGCCACTGACCTGCTTGCAGAGACTTTCCTTTCTGCTTCTGCTTTGCTGTATTTTTCATATCAAACGGTATTTAGCATATTAAGTGGTATCAAACTTGTAGTTGAGAGGTTGCTCAAATGATTGTCAAATGTTCCTCATAGAAACCATGAAATATCATATTGGAGACATTTTTACTGTTGCTCAAACTATTTGAATGTATTTGTGCTGACCTGAAAATGTTTTTGATTACTGTCTGTTTACCGTAACAGGCTGTTACGGCCTGTTTAATTTTTTAGGGTCTTTTTTCCTATATCATATACACTAAATTAAATGTAAACATTTCTACTGAAATTGTGAAAAATGGCACTTTTTTGGTCTAATGAAATTTCAGTGCATCCCTACTTTCATTGTTGAAAAAGCAGAGCCACAATAAACCTGTAGCGATCTGAATTCTGTTCGAAATGTGTTCACATGCTTGTGCAGAATCAGTCACAGTGCATCCAACAATAAAGGCAGCATTGTGCTTCTTTTTTGAAGGGATAAACATCCTAGTATCACACAGAAAGCCCCAATTCCACAGGCTGATCCATTTCACTGTGGCCATTGTGTACACGCATACGGTCCTACTAGTCCCGGGAGCGGATTAAAACAAGTTAGAGGGGACAAAGACAAAGGCTCTGAATGTGTAACTGACAATGTGTTAGATAAGATAAAGTCAAAAGAGTGTTGTAATGAGTAATCATTTACTAGAAGAGGAAGTACCACAGCATGATTGGACACAATGTCTTTCCTTTTACTAAATAATTTTTCAGCAATGAGAATTAATTAAACACTCACTTTATCTCACTGTATGTCTTCGCGCTTGGTTTCTTGGGTGTTTTTTATTTGATTTTCTATCTTTCTTTCTTTCTTTCTTTCTTTCTTTCTTTCTTTTTTGCAGATACATCTTGCCCACTTCCCCATTGTGCTGTAGCTTGACAAAGCGGGTTAGCCTTGAGGGTTTCCTTCTAGTGGTGTGTGTCTATTTCAAGACCCACACATACACACATTCTCACATTCTCACATGTACACAAGATTCATTTCTGACCCACTGACATCATCAGCACTTCCAAAATGGCCTCAGGTCAGTGTGACCTCACCCTGGTTTGAAGATGATAGTGCGCTTGGCTTTGAGTAAAGTGGATTAGAGCTGGTGCTCAAAGTCGATGCCATTAAAGCATGCAGTGTTTTATCCTGTTTGTGTGCGTTACTAAGTAAGAACGTTCCCTCTAAACCACAATGAACAAGTTCTCCTTTTGTTTTTAAATATATCCACCCTTCATGTAGCCATCGCTAAACGATTTGCAGGCTAGGGCCGGATATCGTTAAAAACGTTAATGCTGACACCAGTGTCTCAATCTTGATTTCGATACTGATTCCTGATTGATACTTTTTTTCAATATCTTTTTAACTACAAAACAAAAAAGTGGGTGTGTCTTACACTAGAAATGAGTTTGAATTTAACTTTCCCCACCGACTTGCCTCGTTGGGCAAATGGACTGAAAGTTCATTTGTTTAACAAATTTTAACACTGTTTCCAAGACAATATTTTGCTTTTAAAACATTTTTCAAATGTAAATAACACATATACACACATACTTTATGGCAATTCTAAAATAAAAGCTACATCATTATTTATTACTATAGATTGATTTGTATATATTTTATATTAGATTTGGCAATAACTGTGCTTGAAAAATCACCTTATATAATTACAATGAATGCGAATACACAAAGACAATGAAAAGCAGCAAGATTTGTTTTTGTTTGCAAAAAAATAGTTGATATATATATATATATATATATATATATATATATGGCATATATATATGCACCGATACAACCAGCTGATGCCAAATAATGTAAGGCTACTGTATTAATAAACAACTCAAGCTGGCAGTGAACGAGGGTCTGCTCACACAGAGAAGTGTTACTGACACTGTGGCAGTAGGAAAAAAGTCACAGGTCACTTTAAAGTTTCCAAATTAGTATATTCTACTACATTGCTGCTCGACCCAAGATAACTAATGTATCATAGCTAGCTGATGCACGTCCTTTAAAATCAGCTAGATTATAATGATTTAATTCTAAAGTATGTTGCACTCATTCACACTATTTAGTTCTAGTTGTGTCTCACTATGTACTCCTACTCAGTCTGAAAAAAATGGTGCATCCCTAATATATATGTAAACATATAGTGGGACCACTCTAAAAATCTGGGATTTTTTTTACATTTAAACTAAAAATAAATAAACAACAAAACATTTTACAATTTTGGAAAATTTGAAGCAAAGTTATGACAAGTAAAATGAATAAGAAGAACGCAAAAGAAAGACATTTAAAATTTTGAAGATTCTAGTTTTCATTAGTTTTCATTCAGATTGTTATTCTGATAGAATTTGAAATAAAGATTGCTCTATTTAATTATATACACGCACACAGTCACCAATCAGAGCTCATGTGCATCACGATGATGGCAGCAGTTTAAAGCGACATGCGTCGGTTAAGGACAATATATGGCGGCTGAAATATGCTGAAAGGCTGGGGAATGATGATGTGTACCTTAATAAAACATTGTTATACAACTGATTACAGTTGTTTAATTCTATATCTTCATGTATCCTAGGCACTTCATGGCTTATTTTTTTTTTTTGCAGAACGTTGCTATCTAATGTGTGCACCTTTTCAGTTTCGTACTTGAAAAATGATCATTAGTACTACTTAATGTGTTCATCCTGGGAAAATACCTTTTAAGGGCTACATGTGTGAATGACCCATAACTCGAACGTAGAGTAAAAGTAGTGCCCTGGATTTTAGGAGTGAAAAGGTTGTTAGAGACAGACCTGCAGACTGCTAATTTGGATTTTTGCCGAGTTAAATCTCATTTTGGGCCAGTTCCTCACTGAAGTGCGTTTGAGTTACATGGAACGTAATCACTGCTGATCGCTCTGGCTGAAAGTGGTACCCTGCTGCGGGAAGCAGCCTGGCTGTCGGCTTATCGTTCAACACTGGCGTATGCTCTGTGCCTGCATGCTTTATTATGCATGACCATGTCTGGGTTGCGTGTTAATTATGTTACTAAGTCTGGCAGCTCTATCCTGCTCATAACCAGCTGAATATTCTCTTTGAGGTTATCATTCTAATACACACACACACTCATGCACCCACACCTACCTCAGTATACTTAAATACTCATGCCTGAGCACAT